ACACCTAAAGACAACAGCTGTTGAAATGTTGTACTATATTCACAATTTTTTTCTGTAAACCTATGACTGTTCTAACTCTAAGCCTAACCAGTAATTTGCTGAAAATAGTCCCTTTATAGTTAAGACACCGTGCTGATGGATATAGGATTTTTAGCTAGCTTTATTTAATAAACCTACCACAGGTTATGGCTATTTGTATCCAAATTGTCATTCCTAATGGAAAATCATGGGAGATTCACTCCATGTTCTATTAAGAATAGAACAGCAACTTTGTTTATCTTTACATTTTACATAGTTATATTCCAGTCCTTCCCACAAGGTACTCGCTCCCTTCCTCCTTGCTGTCCCACTCCACTCCGCCCAGAAAAAAAAAAAAGGAAGGGGAAAAGGAAGGAAGAAAAAGAAAGGTAAAACTGAAAAGGGAGGAAGGAAAGGAGAAAAATAGGAAAAAAAACAAAACGAGGAAAGAGAAAAGGCACAGTGGGGCCAGGCACTGTGGTATAGTGGGTAAAGCTGCCGCCTGCAGTACCGGCATCCTGTATGGGCGCCAGTTCAAGTCCCGGCTGCTCCACTTCCAATCCAGCTCTCTGCTATGGCCTGGGAAAGCAGTAGAAGATGGTCCAAGTCCTTGGGCCCCTTTACCCACATGGGAGACCCGGAATAAGCTCCTGGCTCCTGGCTCCTGGCTTTGGATCAGTGCGGCTCTGGCCATTGCAGCCATCTGGGGAGTTAACCAGAAAATTGCAGGACCTCTGTCTCTGCCTCTGCCTCTCTGTCTCTCTGCCTTTCAGATACATACATAAATCTTTAAAGGCACAGTGTTTGGCACATAGTCCTGTGTATTTCAAAGGTTGTTGTGAGAAACTCAATTAGAATTAGGCCATAAAAAATGTAGCATGGCATTTGTATATGTTGGGATTATTCATAATTAATGTTATAAGTATTGATAGGAAGTTCAATTGTGACATAATTGTTTTTGAGTTTACAGATATTAACCAGTGAATGTAAATTTTGGATTTCCTTTGAAGCAGGCAACTGAAATAGCCTTTAAATTTTTTTTGATATTTATGAAAATAAATTTTGAAGGCACTTTAGAAATGTTAACAGTTATTAAAAGCAAATGACTAAAATGAAATGGACTTTTTATATATATAGGGCTAATTAATGTTTTTAAGTGTGGTATTCTCTGTGAGATTGATTTGTATCAATGGGTGATGGAGTCATTTTGATTTGCAAATCAGTGTAAGGTAATTTTGCTTCTTCCTGTTAAAGTTTATTTCCCTTGCTTGTGTTTCTTGTTACTGTGTGGTCATTGTTTCTTTGCTTTTTGTCATGTTATAATGTTGGCTGCTTTTTCTTAGCCTGGTTTGTATCTTGATCATCAAAATAACTAGGCATGCTATTTACCTGAAGCAAATAAGCATAACCCATGTAAATCTTCATTGAATCCCTGAGAGATGGAGTGTATTTTTCCCCTTTTTTCTTTAAAAAAATTATTTATTTATTTGGCAGCTTTAATAATGTTTTCATAAAATATGATCGATTTATAAGTCTGTTTAACATGCCTCTTCCTTTTTGTCTTAGTGCTTTGCTTCTAAGTTACAGATGCAGTGGCTGAACAATACGCTGTGTGGTGTGACAGGTGAATTTCCCAATTTACCTGCTGTAATAGTGTGCTGTGTAATGCCATTCAATCATCTCTGAATTTTACTTGCCTGATTAGTTGAGTGAAGCAGATTTTCAATTTAAATGTAACTTCATCTGCTTGATTAAAAATGTAACAGAACATTATCTGCTGCAAATAAATTTTAGTGGAAGAGATGATTTTGCCTGTTTAAAAATAACATCTGTTTATATTGGCTGGAAGCAGACGATTAATACCTCTCTAATTTCGAGGTTTACCAGTCCAGCTCACCTGTCTCTTTGCATGGATAGTTGAAATTGATGGCTGTCGAGTATAAACATTTACCTGTTGATGTTTAGTTGATGGATTTCTTTTTTAAGGATAATACAGAATCCCATCATTGGGCATTCATTTATTTGCTGCTCATCAAGATGATTGACAGTTTTGCCAACAACATGGAAAAAGGATCTTCCTTCATGATGCATACGAAAAAAATTTTACCCCTCAGTGATGAGTGTCCTACAGAAAAACAGATTCTGTGCATTCTTTTTCATAGTTGGTATTTATTTGAATTCTGACTTTAGAGCCCATGAGTATAAATTTAAGTCAGGTGTGTACTAAATGAGGATAGTAGTCCCCTGCTGGCATCTTTCATCCAGTGATTATGTGTGTAGACTATAAGGACAAGGAAGGAGAAAGATAGGAAAAAACACAATGGTTATTTTTTTCCCTGTGCTTAGTGTACTGTTAGGAATGTAGGAGACTACTCAATAAGTATTTATTGAATTTGAATTAAAAACTATACCTATAGTGTATTTTATATTCTACAAATGTAATAAATTAGATTTAATTATTTAAATACATAGTTAAAATTATAGACTAACTTGTCCTTTTATTTTTTAAAGTGAAAACTTTCCTTTAGGAGCTTATTAAATATAGATTTTTAAGTATTGAATTTTTGTATAAATGTCCTCTAGAGGGGGAAAGGGAATGTTCGCTATTTGATTTTTCTAAACAATATGTAAAACTGTGACTTGAAAAATAGATGTAAAAATTCTAACACTGCTAAATTAGGAGTACAGTTGAGTTTTTAGTATATAGTTATTTTAAAAGATTTATTCATTTAAAAGGTAGGAGTTGGGTGGTGAGACAGAGAGAGATCTTCTAGAGAGAAAAAGAGATCTTTGATTCCCTGGTTCACTCCCCAAATGCTGCAACAACTAGGGCTGGGCCATCTTGAAGCCAGGAGCGTGAAACTCCATCCAGGTCTCCCATGTGAGGGGAGGAGCCCAAGCACTTGGACCATCATCTGCTGCCTTCTCAGTCACGTTAGCAGGGAGTTGGATCAGAAGTGGAGTAGCTTGGATTCAAACTCTTAGATACGGATGACAATATCCCAAACAGTGGCTTAACCTGCTGTGCCACAGTGCCATCCTCACTGTAGTTATTTTTTGAAAATTGATATAGTTCTGCAATCTAAAAAAATATTTTTTTTGTTTTTAAAGATTTATTTGTTTGAAAGAGTTACACAGAGAGCAGAGTCAGAGGGAGGGTGGAGAGGGAGGGAGGGAGGGAGGGATCTTCCATCCGCTGGTTCACTCCTCAATCGGTCACAACAGCCGGGGCTGCACCAATCCGAAGCCAGGAGCTTCTTCCAAGTCTCCCACGGGGGTGCAGGGGCCCAAGTATTTGGGCCATCTTGTACTGCTTTACCAGGCCATAGCAGAGAGCTGAACTGAAAGTGGAACAGCCGGAACTCGAACCAGCATCCATATGGGATGCCGGCACTGCAGGCAGTGGCTTTACCTGCTACGCCACACCACTGGTCCCTAAAAAAATAGTCTTTAAAAAAACTTTAAGATGGTGTGCTTATTTTTTTTTTTTTAGGATTTATTTTATTTGAAAGGCAGAGTGAGAGAAAAAGGAAGAGATTAATCACCCATAAGAGATCTTTGATCCTCTGGTTCACTCCCCAGGTGGCCACAACAGCCAGGACTGGGCCATGCTGAAGCTAGGAACCCAGAATTCCATCCAGGTCTCTTCTGTGGCTTGCAGGGGCCCACTTGTGCTTGGCCCTTGTACCACGTGGGACACCACGATTAAACTCCTGGCTCCTGGCTATGGACTGGCCCAGCTCCAGATGTTGCAGTCATTGGGGGAGTGAACCAGTGGATAGAAGATCTCTCTCTCCATCTCTTCTTCTCTCTTTCCATAACTCCACCTATCAAATAAATATTTTTTAAAAATATTTAAATAGTAGTCATAGTTGTACAACTTGTGGATATACTAAAAACCACTCAAATTTGCACTTCAACAAAGGTTTTTTAAATTTTATGTGAATTATAACAGTTAAAATGAGGTAAAAATATATAATTTGTTGATTTTTAGAGAGATTATTGCCAGAAGTACTGGTCTTTTTTATTTTTTTATTTTTTATTTTTTATTTTTTGGTATTAGGCTTTGGTCTGATGCTAAAGCACTGAAACTGTGGATAGGGAAATGGGCTGGAAGGAAATTTGCCAGCCTTAAAAAGTTACAGCTATGTCTTATAAAATCTCAGTAGCACTGTTTTTTTTTTTTTTTATTAATGATACAGGTATATTCTTACGAATAATTTTGCTTTGTGTGTGTGTGTTTTAAAGATTTAAAATTTAAAAGGCAGAGTGACAGAGAGTGAGAGGCAGAAAGAAGGATCTTCCATCCATGGTTCACTCCCCAAATGCCCACAATAGCCAGGACTGAGCGAAGCCAAAACCAAGAACCCAGAACTTCATCCATGTCTCTTGCATGGGTGACAGAGAGTCAATTATTTGGGCCATCATCAGCTGCCTTAGCAGGAAGCTGGGGTGGAAATGGAGTAGCCCTGACATGAACCAGTGCTCTGATACAGGTCTCAGGCATCCCAAATAATGGCTTAACCCGCTGTACCACTATGGTTGCCTCTGCTTCTATGTTTTCATGTGTCTTTTAAAAACCATTAGGGATGAAAGTAATTTAAAAGGTAAGTGTAGACAACTTTGTAGAAAATCAGAGTATCTTGAAATTATGCCATCATTTTTTTAGATTTCTTTTTTTTTTCCAGTTCATTTTCATTTATTTTTATATCAATATTTAATATACTGGCTACCAGTTCTAATCAGGAAAAAAAATCTTGGAAATCTCTTCAATGTGACAGCATGGTCAGTAGAAATTACTGTTGTGCAAGCAAACCATAAAAGGTGTAGCTCTCCGGAAAGCATTTTGTTGCCTGTTTCACTGTCTGAATATTTACCATGACTCTTGACGAAAGATTCTTTCACCCTTGTAAACATCAGTGTGCACAGTCTCACTACTATGCAGTTTCACGTCCTTGGACAGGAAGGCTGGTTCACAGCTAGTGAAAAGCTAGAAGAGTCTAAGTTTTAATGGCTGGTAAACCTTACATCCTGCAGAAGAGGAAAGCACTTTTCCTTTTTTTTTTTTTTTTTTTTTTTTTTTTTTTTTGCTACTTGAAGAGTGTGGCAGAAATGTATGCTGAGGTAGCCCAGTCTCATTATTTTTTCTTTTTTTGTAAATTTGGTCTCAGAATATTTCTGGAAGTGTGACGTTTCGAAGAAGCCACTGCTGTGACCGGCTTCCACTGCAGTCTCTAATGCTGGGCACCTGGCTATCCTCTTCGGTGGCTTTGTCCAGGCACTGATTACTGTTCACATGCCGTAAGGTTAACTTCACTGGGTCATACTCCCAGAGCTGGGTGCCTTTTAGGTGGTGGCATTTGAGCATCGTGACTGGGCCATGAAGTTTGGAAACATCCAAGCAAAGGTCATCTGTTCTAATTTCTTTGTTGGCAGTATACGAGAAAACCTGATTACCTCCCATACCATGACAATTAAAAATTCCAACTTTTTCATTCTCTTTTCTGGCCATGTTATCAAGACACTGATTTGTTTCTACATTTCGAATCTCTCCCAATGAGAAATAGTGACATGGAATTTGAGAATCAGGATAAATATTCTCTAGGTACCAAGAGAAAGGTTTGCACTGTAGCTTGTGTCTCAGACCAAGTCTCGATGATATATCTCCATAATCTACCTTTGTAACACCTGGAGAGATTATATAGAAAAAATTCTTGAATTCATCCATCCACACTTCTGCAAGTCGTCTGTTATTTTTATTGATAATCTGCCCCGTGCCTCCTGGAAACGTGTAAGGTGTAGCTTTCTGAAACACATGTCCAACATGTGAGCATGTAACAATTTCCAAAGTTCCTCCACACTGCCAAATCCTAAAGGAAATTTCTAGGCTTTCTCCTCCCCAAATATCCATTCCAGCATCATATGTGCCAATTTCCTGAAAGTAATCTCTGTCTATTGAAAAAAGGCCTCCTGCCATTGTAGGTGTTCTGACAGGAAGAGTTCGATCACCTTTCCTTCTATCCATTTCTCTTTGGGGAACAGGATACCAGCGGAAATTGAGCTTCCAGTTGAACCCACCATAGGTCATATCAGAGCCTGCCATGTATTCAAAAGTATCATCGCTGATAACATCAATGATAGGGCAGACTACTGTTCTCCTGTCATGTTTGATCCTGGCTAAGAGAGGCTCCAGCCACCCCACTGTGCACTCACAATGAGCATCCAAAAAGGTGATCACTTGGCCTTTTGACACAGCAGCTCCTTTTAACCTAGCTCTGATCAGTCCAGAACGTTGTTCCATTCGAATTACATGAACTGGGACTTTTAATTTTTTCACATAACTCTCTAGGGGTCTTTTCACAAAATCTCTTTAACTGGCATCATCTACTAGAACAATTTCTTCTATCATGTGTCTTGGTGAGCGATTAATGACACTATGAACAGTTCGTAGAAGTGTGCTCCAAGCCTCATTGTGGAAAACAATCACCACACTTGTTGTAGGAAGATTATCTGGATACACCTTTGTTTTACACCCTTCTAGCCTAACATCTGGTAAAGATCTGTTGAGTGCAATCATCTCACTTGCCATTAAATTGAACTGATTGATTTTAAACATCTCCTTCATCTTTTCTTGGGACTTGAACTGGAGCGCATATGGGATGCAGGTGAAGCAGGCGATGGCTTAACCCGGTGTACCACAATGCTGACCCGACTGTAGCTTTTTAGGGGCTTAGAGTCCGTAAGCATGTTTTTTTTGTTTGTTTTTGTTTGTTTGTTTGTTTGTTTTTGGGACAGGCAAATTTAGAGAGAAAGGTCTTCCTATCCATTGGTTCACCCCCAAATGGCCGCCATGGCTGGCGCGCTGTGCCAATCTGAAGCCAGGAGCCAGGTGCTTCCTCCTGGTCTCCCATGCGGGTGCAGGGCCCAAGGACCTGGGCCATCCTCCACAGCCTTCCCAGGCCACAGCAGAGAGCTGGACTGGAAGAGGAGCAACCTGGACAGAATCCGGGGCCCCAAATGGGACAAGAACCCTGGGTGCCGGTGCTGCAGGTGGAGGATTAGCCAACTGAGCCGCTGCACCGGCCCGTAAGCATTCTTAGCAACATATTTCTCCCTCTCGTTTCTTTAATATTCATTTGAAAAGTGTTGATGTTGAAAGTATTTGACCAGCTGGCGCCGGGGCTCACTGGGCTAATCCTCCGCCTTGTGGCGCTGGCACACCGAGTTCTAGTCCCGGTCGGGGCGCCAGATTCTGTCCCGGTTGCCCCTCTTCCAGGCCAGCTCTCTGCTGTGGCCCAGGAAGGCAGTGGAGGATGGCCCAAGTCCTTGGGCCCTGCACCCCATGGGAGACCAGGAGAAGCACCTGGCTCCTGCCTTCGGATCAGCGCGGTGCGCCGGCTGCAGCGCGCCAGCCGTGGCGGCCACTGGAGGGTGAACCAATGGCCAAGGAAGACCTTTCTCTCTGTCTCTCTCTCTCACTGTCCACTCTGCCTGTCAAAAAAGAAAAAAGAAAAAAAAAGAAAATATTTGAGCTACAAAAATATAGTAATTGTGTAAGATTCGCACTAACAGTAGTTTACCAGGCAGGTAGGAATACAGTTATGATACTAACAGCAAATAGTGCTGTACATGTCTTAACTGATTTAATCTTCACAATGACCCAATGAATCAGTACTATGTGGGAGACTCAGGATTTGAATTCTTCTAACAGTCTTGCTCCAGAGCCCACACTTAAAATGACAAAACTTGGTACTCTGCATTGCCTTCTACTCTTCTAGTCTCCTTTTGACCCTCTGGTAGTTTTGTAAATTCAAGTCCAATTCCTTCTCCTGCCTTGAACCTTTCTTCTTTTCCTATACAGTATTAGTGAGGTATTAGACTTTTATTGCATTATATGCTTTGTGTTGTAATTGTGTATTTCCAAATATGTATTGTGTATTTCAGGTTTATTTTCTGATTATAAGAATAGGTACTAAAGGAGTCTTTCAACACAAATTGTTATCCTGAATTTCACATTCGTGTTGTATTTATTATTTTGTGAATTTTAGAAGTCTTCTGTAGTTCATATCGTTTCAGCTAACACTTATTAAGTGCTTTTGTGTCAAATCTTAATTATATAGCAACTTTGTGTAATAACGTTAGCTGAATTGATAAGACTAGGAATCAACTTAGTCTCCATCATCAGAAGAGTCAGACTAAATGTCTTGGATCACTGATTAAGTTTTCAATTTTATTCAATCCTTAATGGCGGTTTTCCAGATTCCCATTATTGACTTGCATTAGAGGAACAAGAATTTTTAAAAATATGCCAAAGCTGGGAGAACAAAAAGTGCTCTCTTTTTTTACCGGTGGAACCTGGCAAGATCCTGTTCTGTTTGCCTGGTCTCTCATTCATCCTGAGTCCCCTGACACTTTTCTTTCAGGAGTTGTTGTTTTATTTTATATTTGGTATCCCTCAGGAATAGTATCAGTACCCCAAAAAAGGTGATTAGATTTTTTAGAGATTTATTTATTTGAAAGGCAGAGTTACAGAGAGGCAGAGAGAGAGAGAGAGGTCTTCCATCAGATATTGGCCGCAACGACTGGAGCTGCACTGATCCAAAGCCAGGAGCCAGGAGCCTCCTCTGGGTCTCCCACATGGGTGCAGGGGCCCAAGGACTTGGGCCATCTTCCATTGCTTTCCCAGACCATAGCAGAGAGCTGGATTGGAAGTGGAGCATCCGGAACTCGAACTGGTGCCCATATGGGAGCTGCACTGGAGGCGGCAGCTTTACCTGTTATGCCACAATGCTGACCCCTAGATTTAACCCTAGTGTGTTTAGACTTGTTTAAAATTCTACCCTATTGCCAAGGTGTATGAATCTTGTATTAAAGGGTTTACTTGGTATATACTACATTTATAGGAAGATTTCTTGGGCTGATTAAACGTCTGGGTTAAGTTAAGGATTTCTTGCATTAAATTGAATGATCTTGCACAGTAGACCTCTTGGGTTCAAGTAAGCTGAAATTCTGCCTTGAAAAATAAACTAAAGCTAGAGGAAAAGCTGAGGCCAAGTACTTTGAGCAGTGTTTTGTTTGAGAATGAAATTATACTTTATTGATTTAACATTATTAATGACCTTTTAGCATCAAAACTGTGTCATGTTAGATTTTCAGTAGATTCATATTTGAGATCAATTAAAGTAATAATAGATGGTGATTTCTTATATTGCCTTTGGTTACCAGAGCCTAAGGAAAGAGCTACCCTAAATATTTAGTGCTGATCTTATTATTGCTTACTGTTGCTGCTAGATTTTCTTATATGTGGCTAAGAAAAATCTGTGATTAAAAACAAAGGGACAGACATTAGGCCTAGTGATTACACTGGTTAAAGTACCCATTTTCCATATCAGAATGTCTGGTTTTGAATCCCAGCTCCATTCAGGATTCCAACTTAGTGATAATATAAACCCTGGGAGGCAGTGCTAATTATTGGTGCAAGAAGTTGGGTTCTTGACACCATGTGGGAGACTTGGAATCAGTTCTTGGCTCCCTGCTTTGGCCTATCCAACACCATTTGGGGGTTGAATCATGAATCAGTGGATAAGAGTTTTCTCTTTCTCTCTTTCTCTGTCAAATTAAAAAGAGAAAAGCGTTAATCATGAATGATTACATATTTTAAACTTTAGACATACAGAAAATAATCTGATAAATTTCTGAGTACCTAGCACCCAGCATCAGTGGTAAACAGCTCATGGTTAATCTTGTTTAATCTGTGTCCTTACTCACTTTTTCTTCTCTTTTCTGGATTATTATAAAAGCAGATTCCAATTATTATTTCACTTGTTAGTATTTTTATCTAAAAGAATTTAAGCTACTGTTTCACACATAGAAATTATAATTCTTCATTATTATCAAATAGCTAGTTTCTGCTTAAAATTTATGTAGTTTATTTTTTATGGTTCAAATCAGAATCCAAGTAAAGATTATACATTACAATTTGTTAATATCTGTAGGCTTCCTTTTTCTATTGTTTCTTTTCTCCTCTACTTTGGAAAATATTTGTTGAAGAAACTGTGTTTTGTCTCATATTCTGGGTTTTGTTAATAGCCCCCCCCCCCTTTTTAATTTTTTTGACAGGCAGAGTGGACAGTGAGAGAGAGAGACAGAAAGGTCTTCCTTTTTTGCCTTGGTTCACCCTCCAATGGCCGCCGCGGCCGGCACACCACGCTAATCCGATGGCAGGAGCCAGTTACTTATCCTGGTTTCCCATGGGGTGCAGGGCCCAAGTACTTGGGCCATCCTCTACTGCACTCCCTGGCCACAGCAGAGAGCTGGCCTGGAAGAGGGGCAACCAGGACAGAATCCGGCGCCCCGACCTGGACTAGTACCCGGTGTGCCGGTGCCACAAGGCGGAGGATTAGCCTAGTGAGCCGCAGTGCCGGCCCCATTAATACCACCCTTAAAATTATATTTAACACTTCATTTTTCCCCTCTATTTCTTGCAAACTGGGAGAATTTGATTCTGAGTGCCAGTTTGCCCAGGTTTTTGTTTTGTTTTTAGGGGTCAGAGATGTAGGTGGTAGAGTCATGATTACTTAACTGAATTGTGTGTGTATCCATCTCTTGATACTTTGAAAGAAATGTTACTTTTACTTGCAAGTCTAAGAGAGAATGCAAGTTCCCTTTGATTGTCTTTTAGCTGGTAAAAGGCTATTTTATTACCTGAGTTTTAACCTCCCTTTTGTTTCTGTGTGAAAACCTTAATATGCGTTTGGGCTGGACTGATGTTGTTAGCAGTTTGTCCAGGTATACTTATTGGGAAGCAGTTGCTTGCATGTCTTCCTATCTTCCCTCCCTCCTTCATCTCTCTCTACTTGGAAAGATGAGTCTGTTCTAACTTCTGAAAGGTATTATTTTTACATATGAGTATTTCTCTAAACTTCATTCTAAATGATCGTAAAAACATAAGGATTCATATTTTGGAATGACATAGGACTTCTTTGGATTGTTTCCGACTTGTATTTCAGGTTAGTGGTTTTCTATAGAGGACTCCTTGTGAATCTTGTATTTCAGTATATTTGATTAATGGATCTCCCTGTGCTTATTGGTGGCATCCTGCTGGGTCTTTTTTCCCCCCCCTTAGCATGAGTTGTCCCCTTGCCCTAGACTTTTAAAACAGCATAATATTTATTTGCCTATACTTTGGGAAGCAGCTGACAGAGACAACACTGAAAGTTTCTAGACATTTTGACAGACATGTATAAGTAGGCAGTGTTTTTTACTGTGGTGGGCTTTATGGCTCCAAAAGTAAAACCACTGCTTGGGAAGCCCTCATTTCATATCAAAGTGCCAGTGTGAGTCCTGGCTATTCCACTTCCAATCCAGCTCTCTGCTAACATGCCTGGGAGGCAGTGGGTGGTCACCCAAGTACTTGAATTCCTGCCACCCACATGGGATACACGGATGAAATTTCTGCCTCAGTTTAAGTCTTGATTACTCCACTTCAAATCCACCTCTGTTAATGAACCTGGGAGGCAGTGGATGGTGACCTAAGTTTCTGCCACCTGCATGGGAGACTCAGATGGAGTTTCTGGCTCCTGGTTTTGCCCTGTACCAGCCTTGATTGTTGTGGGCATTTGGGGAATGAACCATCAGATGGAA